CCCCAAAACCCCAAAACCCCAAAACCCCGAGGAATAATAATAAAATAATTAATTGTAATGTTATTAAGAATTATTATTTAGCAAATATATTCAAATTATATGGGCTTTGTGTCTTATTAATCTCATAGGGTCGAACTATTCATTACATATCTTATCTGTGTCAATATCTTTTATATAGCGGCTTTCAACATATTAGATAAATTAAGTATACTTGCATTTCTATGTTTGGTAATCACAAAATGGCAATTCTGTAAAAATCTAATCTTCATTGATATATATCTTAATGTGAAAGCAATCCAAGCCTCTGCAATAACCCCTTTTATGTTAATTTTAATCGAAATGTAACTCAAAAAGCACAGCTGATGAATATTAAGTATACTTATACTACTGTTCAAAATTCAACAACTTCATGACAGCAAGAAGGTTTAAGTCATGGTAAATAAATATCTCATATTACATCATTTCTCTGCATTAATAAAGTGATTTTGATAAGATACAATTTACTTTCTTATCTAGCTACCTTATAAACAGTTGCATTAGTCTCATATTTTGAAGGTCAATCATCCACTGACTGAAAACACCATATTAATGAGTAGTGATAATACTTTCTATTGTATTCCACTCACTATAAGATAAGGGTTGAACATCTATCTCTTAGAAGTCAAATTGCCTCTTTAATGATGATAGTAAAACTGCTTAAGTATACACAAACTAAAATCCAGAGAGTTTCAATACTTCTTCACTAATTTCTAGTCTTTCTGCCATCACCTTATATATACCTGTTGATCTGAAGTGTTCATAAACTCTAGGCCAAGCATATAGTTCACTTTAATATGTTTGCAAGTAGAAATGCATTTCAGTAAGTATCTTACAAGAAAACGTATTGACCTTATCCTTCTAAGCTCTGCTAAAGGTTCTTGAAAACATTGGATTATACTCACTCAATATTTTTTCAATATCATCTTGAGTCTTTTCATCATGATGCATTTCTACTTATATTGGTGAGGAACTTCTAGATTAGCTGATTGATTTTCTATGATGAGTCTTGAGTTACAAGCTTTAAGAATTATTGATTACTAAACCTTGATAAAAAGCTTAAGAGCTCTAGACTGTTCTAATTACATCGCTATTTGATATGCCTATTTGCTTATCAATGAGATTATCATCAATGAATCCACTATAATTAGGGTTTTCAATGTATCTCTATCTGAAATATATTCCTGATAGATACATCATTCTCATCCCAGAGGTGGTTAATGATATCAAACCATTTGGATAATATTCCTTCATTAGGTTTGACGTTGAGGCTGCTATTCCATGTCTTTACATTTGCAAAACATGAACAAGTTTAGGCAATACTAAACTTTGAAGAATTGATAAAATAAAGTATAACAGAGTCATATTCATTATTTTAGTTGCCATAATATATTCGTTTATTTTTAAATCAAACTTTATCTGTTAATACATCTTATTTCTAGAATTGATAATGATGGGGTTTTGGGGTTTTGGGGTTTTGGGG